AGCGTGAAGGAGGCCGAGCATCCAAGAAATCCAAATTACAACTTCTTTCTTTCCTTATCCTCGTTCCTCAGTGAACTTAGCGAATCTTTAAGAAATAGTAAAATGCTATTTCTGACGTTTGCTTGTAATATTTACTCCACCTAATAATATTATTCTGGTTATATATCTCTGTTTATGATTTTGTCAAGTTATTACAAATTCTCGCTGTTGCGTGGACGTTACTCCCTCATCGTGCTTGGAATGGTAAGCACCTTTGGAACGACAGTCGACATGCGTGTGAGTGTTCCTTTCTGAGAGGAAAAAGACTGAGCACCAACTCACCGTTCTATTCTTTTACCTGATACATATAATGTCTAAAGTTTATTATTAATTATGCATAACATAAACCGGCATCATTTAAATCTGACTAGACATCATCGGTCTGGATAACCTAGCTATTCCGGCTTATAGATAATGACAATAACGTATAACACGAACATCCTTTGTGGTTCTGAAGCCTTCATGTTATTTGAACCTTTGATATGCGAGGTTGCTATCGTTTAAATAGTACTTTTTCTTTCGTTCCATTTATGAGCTTAAAAAGGAATAATTTACCATGAAGGCTTCATTCGCCGATGCCAGTTGAGTCGACACATCGGACCGGTGCTAAAGAGCGATTTCTTTGTCTTTCACGCCGCTAAGCATTAAATCAGAAGATATATCCGCTGTCTATCACTGGGTGATTCATTCTGGATTGTGGTGAATTCGTGTTCAGGATCGGTGAAACCTCGTTGAATTTTCCTTTGAAGTGAAGTCTGCTGTTAGTAATGTGTCTTAAGATAATCCTGTTTTTTAATATGAATAAACTGCAAGAAGGATGTGAACCGGGGACCCTGGAAGCTATGAGCTTCATAAGCTGCAACTACCAACGATGCATTAAAGAGTTACATTGGGAATGAAAACAAACGATGACAGAAGGAGAAATGAATGGGTATGAGCACAAACAGGAGTCGTTTTGAAGTGAAGAAGTCAGTAGCAATGGGCAGGACACTTTGTAAAAGAACCAACCGTCGTTGGACCCAACAGAAAGATTAAACTGTGTTGCAGGAGATGGAAACCAATCGCGGGATAACCTCCACATCCATGGCAGGGCGAGCTAAAGAAGTATGCTGGATCAAGAAGGATAAGAAGGCAGAAGCTTATGGCAAAGTCTTGGAGAGGCCCTCATGTAGCAGTTTGTCGAAAATGACGTAATGCTAAATAACGAATAAATTACAGTGTAAACTAAACAGACAGATGAAATTGCAAATTCAGGTAAAGCACAAAACTACCATGACCCCCTTATTGAATGACAGTCACATGACTTACAAAGGAATCTTTAATGTGCACGTCCTGTGTATTTATAAGGTATTAATTATCATGAATAATTTATACTGATTCGAGTTTGGTCGCGATTTGTTTCTGAAGAAGCTGATTGTTTATGAGGGTAATTTTCGAGTCCCCTTGAGGCTCGACATCTGAGTCGGTTCGGTTGTTTGCAATCTTCGACGACGTTCGAACTAAGCAGATGTTGGCGGGTCGAACAACATGTTTATGAAAAGTCAAGAAGAGGAAGACGATGGCATTAGGTGACGTTCAGAGTCCTCGTAGTGAGGTGAGGCGGAGGCATTAAATACTCTTATTTGCTGGCCATGTAACAGGATGAAACGAAACGAAACAAAAGTGCAGATGGCCAGGACGGGAGCAAAAGAGAAGAACGAACAGATGTTGAGTCACTTGCGCAGCTCAGCTGCCTTTGTTCAAGGCTATGGCTAATCATCACTACGGGATCCATGGTCGGCTTACTGTCGATGAGGCCAAGGATGTCGACGATGTTATGTAAACAAGTAGTCATTGCCGCAGGCAGTGCCGTGTTGAAACTTTGTTCAGGACACGTAAGAGAAGGATAACGTTGTCGACACGAAGATACCCGATGAAACCAAGGTGACGCTGCTGTTGTCTGTTTGAATGCAGCTGGCAACGGAGTGGCATTGTCAGCGGTAACCTTTGTTCGTTAGGCGAGTAATGCAGCATTCTGTCGATCTCTGAGGTCACGACTCAACCTTTTGATCGTTTCCGGAAATCGATGAAACGACTACAGCTGAACGACGTCACCAGTGGCACCATTCTTCTTGCTTTCTGCACTCGTTGCTTGTTTAACATTCGGGTCACTTCTCTTCGTTCAATGAACAAGTTATAAATAAATAAATCAATCCTCAGCAACCAACCACTTCGCGACCAGATAAACAGCTTTGTTTCAGGTCAACAGTATGTCAACAATATATCTGCAGGTCGGTTACCAGATTTGATGAGTGTAACGTAATTCGGACATATGGTCTAATTGCTCGTTCATCAGTCTAACGCCAAACATCCAATAGTGCTTAGTCAATTCGTACAACCTCGCGTAAAGTTAAAGTTTGATATTGTTGTCTAATTTAACGCTAAATGTCCCATGCAGAGGGATCCCCAGACGAATGTATAACGACTAGTAATGGATTTACTCCGGATTTCACGATTTCAACCGTGAACCTCATGGAAAGGTTATTTTGCTGTTGAGTCTCTTCTCGATAGTGTGCACAGCTCCCTTTCGATTCATGGTTTGCGACATCAAGCGATGTTAGATGCTAAATATACGCTTTTTCGATACAACCCGCAACGTCGTCAAACGGAAACCACGGATCGAAAGAACAGCAGTGATAAGTGATAAGTATTTCTTCATTTTCTAATTCGGGAAAATTTC